CCGCAGCCTTCTCTGCCGCTGAGGAGAGGAGGGGGAGGAGGAGGAGGAGGCGGCGGGACTACTAAAACGCCCAGGCAGCCCGGGGCCCAACCGCCGCCACGTCTCCTTCCGGAGAGCCCGGCTACGCCGCCCCTGCCCCCTTGGGCCACCCACCACCGCTTCCGGGGCAGGCGGCACATCAACATCCGGGGTCGCCGAGCCTTCCGCTACGGAAGCCGGGACGGAGGCCGGGCTTCGCTGGTTTCCCGCAACCGCAGTTTCGCTGGGGAATCGAACGGGGTGGCCTCCCGGGAGGGGACCCCTGAAGACAGGGCCTCGGACCAAGTCCTTTCGGCGGCGAAGTGACGGCACAGAGAGCGGGTGAGTGCGGGAGGCGGTGGCCGCGCCCTGTCCGGCCGCCCGCGCGGTCCTCCAGCAGTGGGCAGCAGTTTGACCCGCACGGGCGCGGGAAGGAAGAGTGTGAACGGGGCGGTGCTGGTCTTTAGACGCGAGAATCGGAAGGCGCGCCGAGTGAGAAGTGGCGGTGTTCCCGACTGCTTTCCCTCTCGCGGCTCCTCTCCTCCCGTTTCTCCGCATCTAGCATCGGCATCTCGCCTGTCCGGCTGGAAGCTGCTCGCCGCCTCCTCTGGGGCGGTGGTTACCTCTGTACTTAGCCCCAAAGGACTAACGCGGGGAGTTTGCTCAGTCTCCGCAGCCCTGGGCGTGGGGTGCCTGAGCTGAGGAAACCTGTCACAGTACAAGGACACTGTGATTCTCCGAGGGACGGAGCCTCTCCTCATGGGACGGCCGCTAGGTATCGCTTGTCCCTACATTTTTTACCCCCCGTGGGGCTCCTCCTTCATCCCATAGATGAAGCTGGATTGTTTTATGAAAGAAGCTAGTTTTCTTATGTGAGGCTCAGGGCCAGGTGAATGCGAGATTATGAATCACGTGAGTTTAAGATACGTCTGTTTGTATTCAAAATAAGACAAAAAGTTTTGTGTCCCCACAGTTCTGCAGCCACCAAGCACCCTAGGGTGTCACGGTGGCCTTCATGCCACTGTGGTCCCTTCGTGGGCGTCCCAGCAAACCTAGTGCCATCTCTTGCAGAGGATCCAAGCACCACGCCCTTCCTCACCGATGGGCCCTCCCAGGCGTGTACCCCGGAGCTGAGTTCGCAGCACCCCAAGCCCAGGCCCGCGGTCCAAGCACGGCCTTAGCCGGAGGTCTGCTCCACTTGGACTCTTTGGTCTAGGCTGGGTGCTGCATCGAGTTTTTCTTTTTAGGCAGAGAGGGTGCAGTGAGAGCCCACAGGGTGTGTCTTCTATTTTAATCATTGTTCAACATTTAATGTGTATCATATGCAAGGCGGTAATGTGGGACAAAAGTTTTCTAGTTGGGAAAGGAGGTGAATTGTTTTTAGTGTACTAAATTTTGAGTGTGTGTGTAGGTGCCTTATATATAAGACATGTAGAATTATAAAGAGTTTGAAAAAGTAGGCTGAAGATTGGAAATTTGCCAAATAAAGATGGTCATTGAAGCCTAGCATTTAATGAGTTTGTGTAGCTGATAAACACAGTCTAAGATGTAAATGTAAATATAGTGAAATGTTCTGCTCTCTTCCCCTTAGTGATAGGAGGTGTTGGGTCACTAGTGTCTGATGCATCAGAGTTGTAAAGAAGGATGAAGACGGAGATCTTTGGGTTGAAGCAGGGAGGGGGTCGTTGGAGATTGGAGAGTGCACTAGTTAGGTGGAGGACAGCAGAATGAAGTTAGATTGGAGGGGAGTTAAGTTAGTAAGGAAATAGAACACTGTAGTTAAAAAAATTCTGTGAAGGATAGGAGAACTGGAAGAAACTGTAGGGTTAAGTGGTGGTTTTTCCAGTTATAGAATGTGTGTATGTGTGTTGGCAAACCATTATGACAAGGAGGTTCAGTACAGTTAAATAAAAGCACCAAGAAATTAGTAGTGAACTACTAAATCATATTTTAGAAAGGTAAAATGAACCTTAAGAAGAATGAAAAAACCCTGAAACTCAATAAAACTAATTTTCATCATATAAATTTGACATAGAAGAATAATTTTAGTAGTTGTCTCCAGAGGAGTTAAAGTTCTTTGAAGAGTAGTCACAGGATTAAAAAATCATTCCACTAATCTTTGAGTTGTTACTGTATGCTTAAGGTGAGTTTATTTTAAGGCTTTAGAAATGCATAAAAATTGATTAAAAGCTGGATAAATTCATAGAAAATAAGTCACAGTATTTTTGCTGAAAAAAAGATAGGCATAATTGGAATATTTCATTTGTAAATTTTAACAAGATGTGATGAGAGGGAACTTTAAGTATGTTTATCATATAACTGACTTTGAAAGAATCAGGGATGGTAAATTATAGGAGTATGTTGCTTACATTGATATTTACAACTGCTCCAAAGTTATGATTTAAAAATTATATATTCCTATGGAAAAGAGAAATCTAATATAATGGCACAAAATGTTGACTATAAAATATTTGAAAAATATCTAAATATGGTTTTTAAGCTATAGGCATGATTATAATCATTATGAATCTCAGAGATACTGAACCCATGGTATTCTGAATATGTAATTAAAAGTAATATTAGACGATACTTATTACATCAGGTACTATGTAATGCTTTACATGGTAAAGTTAAGTGGCACTATCAAGATGTAAATTAGTACACATTCACATACTTTATTAAGCAGAAAATGAAAAATATGTATTTTCCCTATTTAAGATGAAATGCATTATCTGTAGACAATGGTCAGACTTTTAAAATCAGCCTTAAAGAAATGGGTCACATTCATGCTTTCAAGTATTCAAAGTTGACATCACAACAATCTTTGTTTCCCTAAATCAGGGGTGGAGAACTTTTTTTCTTCTAAGGGCTGTTTGTATATTCATAACATCATTCTTGGGCCATACAGAGTTATCAACTTAAAAATTAGCCTGCTATATTTGGTCAAACATTTAATTGAATTTTATTGAATTTCAAGTTCCGCCTGTGGTTTGCCTTGGCAGGGCCAGACCAGAATGATTTCTTGGGCTGTATATGGCCTGCGGGCCAGATGTTTCCCACCCCTGACCTAAATGATAAGCTTTCTGTATATGGAGGTGATGTTTATAAAATGGTACTTATTTACAGTTCTTGGTAGATTGAAGAATGAATGTGTTGTTTGGGAGTGGGAAAAGGAAATTTAAGATTGGCCTGGAGTAGGAGTAGAAACACCTATTTAAAAAAATCCACTTATTAGAGATTTATATTACAAGTGTCTTTTTTCAGTGTAGGGTTTACATTCATACTTGAATTCCTAATATATAACACCTATTTGTATTCTGAGAAATGAGAGCCTGAGGTCTGTGTGTGATTAGGTCACAATGAGAGAAAATGTTTTGAAAGTGATTTCCAAGGGCAGTGAAGAGAGACTTAGTTTTGTTAACAAAAGTAAGCTCTAGGTAAAGGGTACCTTTTTTATGATTCTTGCTGGTTTGGAGGTTCCAAACCCTAGCTTCTCTCTACTTTAGTACTGTTTAACTTCTCCGTTTTAGTTGTGTTTCTCCCCATCTCAGTGAAAATGAGTTCCTGTTCCTGGGCCTTTTAGAACAGGGTCTCCCTATTAATGTTGATGGTATGCCACAGGTATGTTCACATATTTTCTTGTCTAACTTCTTTTTAAAAAATTTTTTTATTTTTTAGAGAGAGAGGAAGGGAGAGAGAGAGAAAAACATCAGTGTGAGAGCGAAACATTGATCTTGCTGCCTCCTGCATGTGCCCTACTGGGGATTGAGCCTGCAGCCTGGGCATGTGCCCTGACCAGGAATGGAACCAGCAACCTTATGGTGCACAGGACGACACCCAACCGAGCCACACTGGGCAGGGCTTGTCTAACTTCTAACTGAAAGCTAGAAAGGCATTTAAATGAGGGTCACAAAGTGCCTGGCTGGGTGTGGCTCAGCGGCTGAGCATCCACCTAGGATCCAGGAGATCGTGGTTCAATTCCCAGTCAGGGCACATGCCTGGGTTTCAGGCTCAATCCCCAGTAGGGGGCGTGCAGGAAGCAGCCGATCAGTGACGACTCTCTCATCATTGATGTTTTAACTCTCTCACTCCCTCTCCCTTCCTCTCTCTGAAATCAATAGATATATTTAAAAATAAATAAATTAAATAAATAAGGATCACAGAGCAACCCCTCCCCCTTGATATTCTGTTATGTATTAAGTGGTAGAAGAATCACTGGGAAGTTACAAACTCCTTTGGACCCAAGTTTGTTTGTAAAATAAATGGCTAGATCTTTGAATTCAGCTATGTGATTGTGATTGTGAGCTACAGCATGTGAATCTTGGATAGGCCTATTATATTTGTTGGAATCTATAGTATCTATTAAAATCAACTCTAGCATCTTTATGTAATAAGTTACATACTATTTCATTATACAAAACATTAACCTTATTTACCTCTTGAAGAAAAGATGCAAGGTAGTTAAGGTGGTTAAGTTCAGATGGTTTTTAAAATATATTGTAGAAAGATCTTGTGCTTAAGAATCAGAGAAACCTGGATTTCTGCTACTTATTAGATGTGTAACTGTATGCAAGTTACTAGGGAAACAAGTTTAGAGGCGTTATGAAGAAAATGCTTCTATATATAAAGTGCCTGGCATATCCTTATGAGATATTAGTGAATGTCAGTACCTTTCTTGTTGTACAGGACAAGTGAAATGCCTTCTGGAAAACTAATATTGAAAATGTTGGAAAATATTTAAAAAGCTTTATAGCTGAGTAAATTACCAAGTAAGGTGTTAATAAATACAAAAATATGAAAAGGACTACTGTGCCTACTATGCAGGACAGCTGTATTTATTTATATTAGTTTTTATATTTACTTATGTCTCTTTCCTCTAGAATGCTCTTTTTTCCCCCATCACCATGATCCCCTCTATACCCTCTCCTACCCCCCCACCCCCCTCCAAATCACCACACAGGACAGCTTTATTTTTTTATTCTGTATTATTAGTCATGCCTGGGTTTGAAGAATTTTTATTGTTTCATATTAGATTTAATGTGATACTGAAATTCTTTTCATACTGAAAGATTTTTAGAGAGACTATATCCTATTGAGAAGGAAATCACTTATAATTAGAAATAATCTGTATTAGTCTGAATCAAGGCTAATTCTACATGAATTAATAATGTATGTGGATACTTCCTACTTGAGTGGCACCATCAACACTATTCAACGGATACCTTTGTTCAAGTGACAGGACAGAAGGGGGAAAAATCTGTATAGTAAATGATTAGGTAATGCCATTTCTTACTTAAAAAGTTTACAATTCTGAAAGCTATTTAAAACACCAAATTTTCACTTTATATATGTTTGTTAATTTGTATTAGAAAAATCTTTTAAAAAAATTTCACCATAAGATTAACACAAGTTACTGACAGACTACATTGTTAGTGAATTTATATTACGTAATTTGTGCTTTTTTAGCTGAATGAGTTTGTGCATTTATTCAAAAAAGGAGAGATATAGTACATTATAATTTCAAGGGAATTTTTATATTAAAAATGCTATTTTTTTTGGCTTAAATTGGAAAGGATACTATTTAATACCTGAACAAGGAAATTCATAATTAAGGCTGAAATCTTATCTATATTACTATATATTTCTAATTATACATTCTTTTAAGCTTATATATTTTAACCCATGGTTACAGAATTATTGCATAGGAATATATTGAAGGTATACCTTATTATATTTACTGAACTTTTGATTTAATCCTGTGCAAATTCAAAATAGTATTGATATGAAACATGAAATTATTTTTACTCTGGTTAAAAAACAAGCTGTGAACTGAGTCTTTCATTGTATTTTTCTAAAGAACTCACTTCTCATGATCAAGTGTTCAATATTATATAGTTAGGAAATCATTATATTATTATAACCTGAATTTTTTTCTTTAACTATACCTTTATACTTTGAGTATGTATGTGTTTCAGGACACTTGCAATTAAACTATAAATTTTGATGATATCTTGACTACAGCATTAAAAATAAATAAGATCTTCAAGTAAATACATTTCCAAATCATACTGTCATTGTGCAGTACAACTATTCTTTGATGACTGAAAGTTCTGCTTTTCTGGAAAAGTCAATGATTAGGTCTTTATAAGCAATCGAGATTCTGTTTTCCTTCTAAACGTTCCTTTACTAATTTTTCCAAAGAGAAAAGATGCTCGTCTGCATCTTCTGGCACAAGATTCCTAATGGAATTTGCAAGTTCAAAAAGATATTCTGTATTTCTTCCACTTGGACCAGCTGCGTTAAAAATCTGTTCAGCAATGTCTTCCAGAGGTGCAGGACCAAGATAATTAGGATTATCACATGTTCCAATATATAGCAACACATTGAATGGTTTTGTAACGGGATCTTTTGGATAAAAAATGACTGTTGTGGTCCTGTAGCCTCCCTTCTCTCTGAAGTCAAGATATGCTTTTACTTCTTCTTCCTTTCCTGCTGGCAGTCTGTAAGCAACACCCCATACACAACCCTGCTGAAAAATGAAAAGAATGTATTATTTAGTATTTACAAGGCTTAAATAGGTGAAAGTACGTTGTGATGTAAGAAAATATCTTGTATGTTCTTAGAAATCAATGCAGTTTTACTTAAGTGCCTTGAAAAGGTACATATTAAACAATAAAGGAAATCATTTTAAATTCTTCAGTCTGAAAAAATTATTTCCTTGGACACTAGGATATTTGTCTTTGTTTAAATCTTTGAGAGTATGTTTTTTATCTAATGAGCCTGAAATGAAAAAATAACAGGTCTTCATTTGGTCATTAAAACTACAGTTCTAAAGCTTAAATCCATAGGCATTTCACTGATGGTACAGGGCAGTAGTTTCCAAACTGCTGCAAGGAGTGTTAAAGCCACCATGGAGCCTACCTCAGAGGCTGTCTGGATATGAGTGGTGGGGTGCTGGCCAGGAGCGTTTGGACATCCTAACCCCCTTCAGCTTGAGCATAATTTATCTTTTTACATATTAGGTGTTCCTTTTTTTTGCAAAAAGAGTTCTATGTTTTAAAAGCTCTTTAGTAATCAACTACTTAAGGCCTTAGCAGTTTCATTTTATTTGTTCATTTCTTCACTGCCTAAACTTCCAAATATCCTTTGTAGATTACTCCATCCAGAATACTACATGACAACCTCTTTTGTCAAGAGAGCCCATGAACAAAGTGTCAGTAAAAATAATGTATTTTAGCTGCAAGTATTTTTTTTACTATTAATAAAATACCTGTGATATAAGCTAGATTTACAGTTTGTAATACAGATTTTCTAAGTTCTTGAGAAAAGTATATACACACTGTAACAGCTGATAGCTCAGTTTTGAAAATGTATCAGACTCCTAGCAAATGTGAGGAGAGCTTTAAGGTTTCCATTTGGCTCTTAATGGTAGTTGGGATGGCTTCATTCATGTCAAAGAGGACCACAAAATCCTCAATCAACAAGCTCATTAAGAAAAGTAAATGAGACTACATGCTATTTGGTTTTCTTTTGTAGTCTACCTTGCATTCTTCATCCAACTGTTTTCAACAGGTGAATATAGAAAGGAATTCTAGATCTAGTGCAGTTGAAATTGTAACTACTGTCAATACAATTTCATTTAAAACTGAGAAACATCTCAACTTATATAAAGCCTATACAAAAAAAAAAAAAAATATATATATACTATACCCCAGGATCTTCAACAAGAGTCACAACTCTTCCAGGCTGTTTAAAAAAAAAGTAAAATAAATAAATAAATAAATAGATTTCTGAATTATAGTTCATCAACTGAGCATTAGCAAATTGTTGACATGGAATATTTTAACTTCATTTGCTCATACTAAACACTTTTTTAAAAAACTCTTATGTTTTATGATAACTTTTAAAGTGAATTAAGAGAATCTGCTTTAGTGGGGCCAGTGGGGTTCAGCAGTTGAGCGTCAACCCAGGACCCGGAGGTCAGGGCACATGCCTGGGTTTCAGGCTCAATCCCTGGTAGGGGCTGTGCGGGAGGCAGCCGATTGATGTTACTCTCTTATCGATGTTTCTATCTTTGTCCCTTCCTCTCTCTCTGGAAAAAAAAAAAATCAATAAAAAAACATTTTAAAAGAAGAATTGTTATAAACCACAATTTTACTTACTTGATGCCCACTGTCTGGCACATAGCCTAAATCTTTCAGATTACTGGTGTCATCTTTGTTGCTGTTTCCTTCTAGTCTTTGTCTACTTGTATAGATAATTTGTAATCATGGAATATATGGGATTTTGGATTTGTTTATTTATTTTCCTGTTAGTCTTCTCACACATTTTAATAGTTGTATAATATCCTATAATCAGTGAGGTATTGACATGCCTGTGTTGTTGGACATTTAGATTTGACTTGTTTTCTACTTAAGGTAATGCTACAATGAGGTACATATATGGGTGTGGGTCATATAGGTACTGCCATAATACTTTCAAATTCTAAGTGAATTAGCTATTTATTGAATACCTACTCTGTGTTGTAGAAAAGGAAAAGCCTTGAGTTTTGTTTCCAAGAGCTTATATTGTAATTGTGGAATAAGAAGTTAACATGTGAAATAGGTAGAGAATACTTAAGGGCTAAGATGTATGGTATTAAGTGTAGTAAGAATTCTGAGTCTCGAGTGGTCAGAATGGAACATAAAATTATGGCAAAAAGGCACTGTGATTCAGGAGTGAGGACCTAGAGGCAGTATTATTACCAGGTCAAGTGTCTGACTTTAGGAAAGGGTCCCCCATGTAGGGAAGATGATTCAGAAAGATAATTGGAAAAATAGGACAGAGTCAGCTTTGAAAAGCCAAAGAGTGGAGTTGAAATTAGGGGATAGTGGAAAATAAGAAGCTGCTGAAATTTGGGAGAAATAGGAAATAAGGAGCTACTCTAACGCTTGAGTAGCAGATGACTGGCATGATAAAAAGTGTTTTGGGAAGATCACTGTGGTAAAATATATAGTATACAAATTAGAGTGGGAAGGAGGTAGATACTCAGTAAGAGAATGAACTGTGAGTGGTCCAGGTGACAAGCTCTCTCCTGCACCTTTCCTTGCTTCCCCTTACATCCAGCCAAGTCACCAGCTTAGCTCCGTCTTCTGGTTATCTTCCATGTCTGGTTCCTCTTCATCCTTCAGCCGCTTCCTTAGGGATCTTACTGCCTGCTTCTAGTTTTGCTTCCCTTCAGTCTGTTCTGTATTTGGGCCTAAAATGACTTTCTAGTGCAAAAATTGGGCCACTCCCATGCTTTGAGTTTTTCAGGGTTGTATTCTACAAGATAAAATAAAAATTCCTTAGCATGACAACTACAAACCTCACTTCTTACCACTTTCCCCCTCAAGTGTACTGAATCATTTATAACTTGTACAAACATTCATGTCTTTGGATGTACTGGTGCCCAGTGTGGAATGCCCTTTCTTTTATATCCCTGTGATACCCTCCTGCCGCTATCTCCACAAAGGCTTGGCTGACTCCCAGAGGACTGCCACAGCTGCTCCTTCTTCTAAACTCCCATTGTTCCTTTTATTCGTTTCCTTTACAGAACTTACCAAGTATTGTTGTTTGCATAGGTGTCTCCCACTTATACATAAGTGCTCAGTAGTAATTGTTGAAAGGAGGAGGAGGGGTAGTAAAGTCCTGGACTAAGGTGGTGGCATTTGAAACAGAAAACAGAGTATTATATAGGGAGTCATTTTAGGGGACAAATCAATGGATCCCTGTGACTGCTTATGGATGAAACAGACATGGACTGCTGGCAATACTGATATATTTACTTGGAAATATTTTCTAAAACTTAAGCTCTTTGCTCCTAAAATGTAAATATATATTATTGAGAAACTGCAAATTTGTAAATGTACTTAAATGGTTTTTTTAGGGAATTGAAACTGAAGAAAGGGGTCTTTCTAGCTGAATGGAAGTGGAGGAAGTTATGAAATATGAGTAATGATAGGCACTTTCATTTCAGTAATGTTTCTGATATACAAAAGTTAGGGATTTATTAAATGTTCACAATTATCTTGTGTTAAAATGTTTCTTCTCTTTTGAAACTGAAATTTATATTCTCTCTGATGTGAAAAAAATTTCACATTTAAACATCTTTAATTTGGTGGGAAACTGCCAATTTGTTATATATAAGTGAGATGCTTGATTAAACTTAGTAAAAAAATTAAATGAAGCCAAAAAGAAAGCATAATTTAATAAAGCAAGTAGATTTGATATTTTTCTCACAAATATCACTTTGCAGTATGTGGAAATAACTCTAACATTTGTTTAATAATATTACATTTCATACTTAATGATGACTGACTTACTAGAGCACACGTTGCTGTAAAAAACATAGTCCTATATAGCATTTATGTTATTTTGATTTGATGGGTATTTCTGTAGGTTTTTATATTGTTTGTCAGACAGTTAATATTTATATAAGGTTGGTGATACATTGTAATGAAAATGTGAAGTAGAAAATGTTTAGTACTTAAGACTCTCCTTTAATTTGCTACGATAATTTGCAACTCAAAAGACTTAAATAAAAGTAGGTGTAAAACTATTACAGTTTTAAAAACTATTGTAGTCATTTCCCCCTAACTTCCCTGCCTTATCTTTTAGTAAATTTAAGTAAGAAGAGAGATACTGGCTTTTATAGCTGCCTTCTTTTAAAGAACCATGTTGTTGTTGTTTTAAATTTCTATTGATTTTTAGAAAGAGAAAAGAGAGAGGAATAGAGATAGAGATCTGTGTGAGAGTGATACGTTGATTGGCTGCCTCCTGCATGCCCCCAAATAGGGATTGAGCCCACAACCTAGGCAGGGGAATCTAACCAGTCACTTTTCGGTGCACAGGATGATGCTTAGCCAACTGAACCACCTGGCCAGGGCACATGTTGTAAGAACTGTGTTTTACTGACTTGACAATTTCTTATCAGTCTATTCTCAGTGTACATATCTCAGTATGCTGTGTAGCAAACATAGACATTTTGGTTAGGATTAGAGTAGTAAAATATGCTATTAAACCTAATTTGTAAATATTTAATACTTGGTCATTAAAATTGGAGCCTAGGCTAAGGCTTTTCTCCTCAGAATGGCAATTTTAAGTGTTTATATCTGACAACTCAAAAAGCATTTTATTTAACTTAGTTCTTTCAAGTCTTAAATATTGTTTTATAACATTCTTGGAGATAATTTGGCCATGAAGTTTCTGTTGGCCTATAATGTGCATTTGCTTTAAGTCACTCCTGTTTTCAAGTCATCTGTCTACCTTAAAGCCAAATTCTTAATTAACCAACTCTAGTGGAGGTGGAATGACTTCTAACTCAGGCTCTTTTTGTGATTTTATTCCTATGTCTCTTTATGAGCAGGTGCAAACTACTTCACACCTGGCCTGTCCCCTTTCCACGACTGCAGGTATTTCTTTGGAGTTAACCCCAATCCCTTTCTACATCCGATTTCTAGCATTTTAGATATCGTGCTTTTGGACCAATATTAATGTCTTTTTAAAAAACACTAAGCTCATAACGGTCAGAGTATTTTATTATGTATTTATCAGATTATGTTAAGTGAAATAAATCAGTCAGAGAAAGACAAATACTATATGATCTCACTTATATGTGGAATTTCATGAAGGACAAAATAGAAACAGAGGCATGGATACATGGAACAGATTCACAGCTGTCAGAGAGGACTGGTTGAAAGAGGGTGAAGGGATTAGCCAAAGAACATGTATGCATTACCCATGACACCGGTAACAGTGTGATGATTTGGTGGGGCACAAAGGGGAGGAAATGGGGACATCTCTAAATCTCCAATAGTAACAACAATAAAAATAAAAAGAAAAAACACAGTAATCAAGCTAATACAACTTTCAGAGGTATTTTAGAGAAAATATAAGCAATAAAAAATTTATTAAGGTTAATTAAAACAAGTGTTCAAATTATCCACATTGTTAGTTCCCAGACTAAGTGTTCCTTACAGATTAGCTGTTTTGCAGCCAGTACAAGGCTGATTTCCATAAGCAGTGAGCTGCTACTGATTTTCTGTACAAAAATATATTGAGATGAATGTCTTTGTGACTGACTGAAAAATGGATCGAAGAACTTACATTTATAATTTAGAGAAGAACCATCGAGAAACATTAAAATAATGCTGGATATATAATGAATACTGTGTTACTCAAGCAACAGACCAGGAACTCATTTAATGTCACTAGTACTTGATAACCGAAGTGATCAAAGTAAGTTTCTTAATAACCGAAGGCAATTTTGGAAACTAGTTCTTCTGTGACCTTAGGTTCCATAAAATACATGTTTGGAAAGATATAAAGAAACCCCAGAAAAACACTTTTAAATTGAAACCAATGAAAGTCTTTCAAAATGCAGAAATGCCAACAAATTTAATTGCCAAAAAGCTGAATTTGCAAGTTGATTTTAGCACTTCAACTCCGTGGTGACTCAAAAGATTGATCTTCCCGCCCTTTTTTTTTTTTTTTT